CTGCAAACACACAGATGGGTCTAGGTTATAGATTTCATGGAGATATAATAGGTGTTTTGCTTTATTAACAATAAAGCGTACAATGCATGATGAAGAGCTGACAGATACAAATTGTCTGAATAACATAACATCGACACTCATAAAGCAAAGACTATAGGAAATAAAATCAGTGAGGAATACATAATTATTCTAATTTAGATCTAATGTAGATCTAATTTGTATTATGTCAAAACCACGCTGAAAGCAGAATATACCTTTTAAAATACCCATTGAACACTTCACAAACCTTGAGTAAGTATTAGGCCACAAAGAAAACCATAATTCATTTCCAAAATCAGAAGTAGCACAGTCAATAGTCAAAAGGCCAAAAAATTAGAAATCAATTACATCAGAAAACAAAAAGTCCTTTATCTGAATTTTTAAGTTATCTCTTAAAGAACTCAGAGATCGAAAAGGGAATCAAAAATAAAATTGCAGAAGATAATAACAATGAAAATACTGCATCTGACAACCTACAAAACACAAAGTATTACAGTACTCAGAACAATTCACAGCACAAGGCACAGGGTCTTAGAATAAAAATCACCTAAACCAGGAATGGTGGCTCAAGCCTGCAATCCAGGGCTTTTGGAGGCCAAGACAGAAGGATCACTTGAGCCCAGCAGCTCAAGACCAGCCTGAGCAACACAGTGAGACACTGTATAGAGACACTGTCTCTATAAAAAATAATAATAATAATCCAAGCATGATAGTGTACACCTGCAGACCTAGCTACTTTCAGGAGACTGAGACAGGAAGATCGTTTAGCCCCAGGAGTTCAAGGTTACAGTGAGCTATGATCGTGCCATTGCACTCCAGCCAGGGCAACAAAGCAAGGCCCTGTGCCTAAAAGAAAAAAAAACATAAAACAAAAAAACAAAAACCACGCCGGGCGTGGTGGCCCAGGCCTGTAATCCTAACACTCTGGGAGGCTGAGGCAGGTGGATTACTTGAGGTCAGGAGTTCGAGACCAGCCTGAGGAAGAGCTAGACCCCATCTCTACTAATAGAAATTACTGGACAACTAAAAATATACAAAAAATTAGTCAGGCATGGTGGCGCATGCCTGTAGTCCCAGCTACTCGGGAGGCTGAGGCAGGAAGATCACTTGAGCCCAGGAGTCTGAGGTTGCTGTGAGCTAGGCAGACGTCATGGCACTCTAGCCCAGGAAACAGAGTGAGACTCTATCTCAGGAAAAAAAAAAAAACACCTAAGGAAAACACAAGAGTAAAAATAGTAGTAAAGCTATAAGCAGAAAATAATCAAGTAAAAATCAGAAAAATAAATCAAGAGCTAGTTCTCTGGAAAATAAACTGTCTAGCTAACAATAAAAAAGGAGAAAAAATGCTGGGCGCGGTGGCTCACGCCTGTAATCCTAGCACTCTGGGAGGCCGAGGCGGGCGGATTGCTCAAGGTCGGGAGTTCGAAACCAGCCTGAGCGAGACCCCGTCTCTACTAAAAATAGAAAGAAATTAATTGACCAACTAAAAGTATATATACAAAATATTAGCCGGGCATGGTGGTGCATGCCTGTAGTCCCAGCTACTTGGAAGGCTGAGGCAGAATGATCGCTTGAGCCCAGGAGTTTGAGGTTGCTGTGAGCTAGGCTGACGCCATGGCACTCACTCTAGCCTGGGCAACAAAAGTGAGACTCTGTCTCAAAAAAAAAAAAAAATGGAGAAAAATGAAACATGCAAAACAGAGAAAATTAAAATAACCCTAAGGATATTGCTAACCACTTACAAGTACATTTGAGAACTGGTCAAAATGTATGATCTAGGAATCTGTCTTCATGGAAAAAAAGAAAAAAATGTATGATCTCCTAGGAAAATATTAATTATTAAAACTGAACCCAGAAGAGGAAGAAATCATATTCAGATCTATAACCACAGAGGAAACAGCAAGAGTTGCAAAAGAATTCTTGTCACCCAAAAGAAACATAATTTCACTGAGATTTTAATGGTTCCAAAATACAGGAAAAGATGGAAAGTGTCTAATTTTTTTTACCCAAAGTAAGCACAATATTGATGCCAAAAAAGAGAAAATTTCTGAAAAATCTCACGTATGAATATAGATATGAAAATCCTCAAAATAAAAAGTGCCAACCAAATGTAGTAGTACATATAGGAATATACTATGTCCAGTGGGATTTTTTTCCCACATATATGGGATAGTTCAACATTAGGAAATCTGTTGATATAATTCACCATATATTTAATAGATTAAAGAAAAATCATATGGCAATCTCCTTAACATGAGTTTAAAAAACAAACCAAAAAACCCTACCACTCTCAATATCAAATACCAGAGCATACTGACCAGTGGGAAAACTAGAGGATTCCCACTCAGGACAGGAACAAGACAAAGATGTCCATTATTATCACAATTATTTAACATTGTTATTTAATATTAGATGGGAGAAATAAAAAGTCAGAAAAGAACTGTTCCCCAAGCCAGGCGCGGTGGCTCACGCTTGTAATCCTAGCACTCTGGGAGGCCGAGGCGGGCGGATTGCTCAAGCTCAGGAGTTCAAAACCAGCCTGAGCGAGACCCCGTCTCTACTATAAAAATAGAAAGAAATCAATTGGCCAACTAATATATATAGAAAAAAAAATTAGCCGGGCATGGTGGCTCGTGCCTGTAGTCCCAGCAACTCGGGAGGCTGAGGTAGTAGGATTGCTTGAGCCCAGGAGTTTGAGGTTGCTGTGAGCTAGGCTGACGCCACGGCACTCACTCTAGCCTAGGCAAGAAAGCGAGACTCTGTCTCAAAAAAAAAAAAAAGAACTGTTCCCCAGGAAAACCCAAAAACTGAAAAACTATTATAAATATAAGAGAATACAAAAAAGTATTTCTGGACACAAAATTAATATTCTGAAATAAACAGCCTTCACGTATATAATGACCACATAAATATAATAGAAACATACAATATACCACAGGGAATAAGAGCCAAGAATAAACTTAAAGACACACAAGGAGAAAACTAAAGCTCCACTGAAATACACAAAAGACAACTTCTAAGATTAGAAAAATAGATGATAATCACGGATTACACATTCAACATCATAAAGATCAATTCTAAGTCGCTATATAAATTTGGCATGACCTAAAGGAAAACTGGAGTCTTCTGTTTTTATTTTTTTTAACTAGATGAGCTAATTCTACAGTCCACGTGGAAATAACAATTAAGTAAAAACAGCAAAAAAAAAAAAAAAAAAAACTCTGAAGAAAACAATGAAGGGAGACTAGACTATCTGATATTAAAATATTTATTAAAAGATATAACACTTAAAGCTATACTGTATTGGTGCATAAGCAGATTAATGGAACACAATAGAAATCATTGAAAATACCAAAAATATGGACATTTGGTAGATAATAAAGCTGTCATTTAAAATCTGTTAAGTGAGGCCAGGCACAGTGTGGCTCACACCTATAATCCTAGCACTCTGGGAGGTCAAGGGAGGAGGATTGCTTGAGCTCAAGAGTTCAAGACCAGCCTGAGCAAGAGTGAGACCTCCATCAAATAGAAAAATTAACCTGGCATTAAGGTACATGCCTGTAGTCCCAGCTACTGAGGAGGCTGAGACAGGAGGATCACTTAAACCCAGGAGTTTGAAGTTGCAGTGAGCTATGACAACACCACTCTACCCGGGGTGACAGAGCAAAACTCTGTCTCAAAAATAATAATAAAAATAAATTAAAAGCAATCATGTAGTGACATCAGCATGATACCAGCACAATGGCACAGTACGCATCTCCAAGCTCACATCCTTGCACAGAAACATCAAAAAACAAATAGAAACTTTCAGAACCAACTTTGCCAGAACTCTAGAAACTAGTAAAGAGTTTACAGTACCAAGCAAAAGCTGAATTAAAAAAAAAAAGGGCAATCTCAAAACAGGAAAGTTTTGTGGCATTTTTACTTGACCTTGCCTACCCCTTCCTTGGCACAGCAGTGGTCTTGGTCATGAAGAGGCAGCAGTTTGCGTTCTCAGTGTGGGACCCTGGTCCCCAATTTTGGAGAGAGTAAAGGAGAACTTATTCACAAATAAGTCTGTTCTAAAAAATGTCTGTTCGAATCTGTCTGGGGTCCACCTGATGGAGTGGCCGAAGGCTCTCATCTGTTTGACCTAACTCAAAAGACAGATTGGACAGGTTGTGAGCGTTAACTGAAAACACTACAACAGAAACAAACAACCCTCAGAAACCTGGAGAACTGCCTAAGACTAGGATATTAAAAAGCCACCATATATAAGGTAGAATTTAGAAAGCCACACGTGATAGGCAAGACCCTATGCTTCACCTTGGGCTAATCCAAAGGCTGAGCATAAGCCTGGCTGATGCAGAAGTAATGCCCCTGCACAGAGCAAAATTGCTAAGACTGAGAGATGTGTTCTTTGTGGGTGGCTGAATTTTTAGCTCCTGGCATTCAAGGAAATCTGTATCATAATCCTAGTTGAATAAAAGCTAATGAACAGAAACTTCAAGGAATACAATTTTGCAAAAATGGTTCATGAAAGTCTTTAAACAAATAGACAACTATAGTCTTCAATAATCAAAAAACAGCAAACCCTGGGGAAGGGGAAGAATATGAATTCCAGTTATCATATAATTATAGTATTCAAATGCCCAGTTACCAACCAAAAAAAAAAAAAAAACACAAGGCAAAGAAGCAGAAAATATGGCCCCCTCAAAGGAACAAAATGAAGTAACAGAAACCGTGCTTAAGGAATTCTATACATCAGTACTACAAGACAGAGACTTTAAAACAACTGTTTTATATATGCTCAAAGAGCTAAACAAAAACAAAAACACAAACAACTAAAGGAAATCAGAAAAATAATGCATAACCAAAATGAGAATATTAATAAGAAGACAGAAATTATAAAAAGGAGTCAAACAGAAATCCTGGAGCAAAAGAGTTTGATAAATGAAATGAAAAATTCATAAGAGGAGTTCAACAAATTTGAGCAGGCAGAAGAAAGCAGCAGTGAACTTGAAGATAGGACAACTAAAATTATTGAGTCTCTTCATAAAAAGAACAAAGAAAAGAGAGTAGAGCCTAAGGAACCTGTGGGACACCATTAAGCAGATCAACATACACATTACAGGAGTCCCAGAAGAAGATAGAAAAGATCAGAAAGAATATTGTAAGAAATAATGTCCAAAAACTTCCCAAATTTGATAAAAGATATGAATCTACAAATACAAGAAGCTTAGTAAATTCCAAGTAGGATAATCTCAAGAGTCTCACACCCAGGCACATTATAATCAAACTGTCAAAAGACATAATCTTTAAAAAGCAGTCTTTCCAACCAGCGCCAAGCGATGGGCATCTCTCGGGACAACTGGCACAAGCGCCGCAAGACCAGGGGCAAGAGAAAGCCCTACCACAAGAAGCGGAAGTATGAACTTGGGCGCCCCGCTGCCAACACAAAGATTGGTCCCAGCCGCATACACACAGTCCGTGTGCGGGAAGGTAACAAGAAATACCGTGCCCTAAGGCTGGACGTGGGGAACTTCTCCTGGGGCTCAGAGTGTTGTACTCAGAAAACGAGAATCATTGATGTTGTCTACAATGCGTCCAATAACGAGCTGGTCCGCACCAAGACCTTGGTGAAGAACTGCATCGTGCTTATTGACAGCACACCATACCGACAGTGGTACGAGTCCCACTATGCACTGCCCCTGGGCCACAAGAAGGGGGCCAAGCTGACTCCTGAGGAAGAAGAAATTTTAAACAAAAAACAATCCAAAAAAATTCAGAAGAAATATGATGAAAGGAAAAAGAATGCTAAAATCAGCAGTCTTCTGGAGGAGCAGTTTCAGCAGGGCAAGCTTCTCGCATGCATTGCGTCCAGACCGGGCCAGTGTGACCGTGCCAGTGTGGCCGAGCAGAGGGCAAGGAGCTGGAGTTCTACCTGAGGAAAATCAAGGCCCAGAAAGGCAAATAACTCCTCCTCTCTCCTGTCTTAGTTCATGTAATAAGGTGTTTATTGTTCTTAAAAAAAAAGCAAAAGCAGCAACTTACCATATACAAAAGATCCCCAATAACATTAATAGCTGATTTATTATCAGAAACTATGAAGGACAAAAGACAAGTAAGACGACATATTTAAAGTGCTGACAGAAAAAAACTGTCAACCAAGAATTCTATCTGACAAAACCATCCTTCAAAATGAGGGAGAAATTAAGACATTCCTAGATAAACAAAAGCTAAAGGAGTTGATTACCACTAGTCCTGCCAGACAAGAAGTGCTAAAGGTCGGAATTACAGAATACTAGAAAGTAACTCAAAGCCATATGAAAATATAGAGATCTCCAATAAGAATAAATGGTCAGATATAAATGCCAGTATTGTATTTTTGGACTGTAACTGCATTTTTTATTTTATGCAAGATCTAAAAGACAAATATGTAAAAATAATTATAAATCTATGTTATTGGGCTTACAGTGTATAAACATGTAGTTTCTGACAACAAATGTTAAAAAGGGGGAAGAACTGTACAGAAGCAGAGTTTCTGTATGACACTGAAGTCAAGTTGTTATCAGTTCAAAATAGACTGTTACAAATGTAAGATGTTAACTGTAATCCCTAAAAAGCTATGCAAGAGAATATTCAAGAGAAATAAAAATACATGTCCACACAAAACCTTGTACACAAAGTGGAGACAACCCAAATGTCCATCAACTGATGAAGGAATAAACAAAATATGTATATCCATAAAATGAAACATTGTTTGGCAATAAAAAGCAATGGTGTGGTTGAACCTTGAAAACATTGTATTAACTCAAAGAAGCCAGTCACAAAATACTACATACAATATGTCTCCATTTATGTGAAATGTCTAGAATAGGCAAATTCTTAGACAAAAAGTAGATCAGTGTTTGCCAGGAGCTGGGGCAAGGGGAAGATAGGGAATGAATGCTAGCGGGCACGGGTATCTTTTCAGAGTACTGAAAAGGCCCTAAAATTAGATTGTGGTGGTGGCTGCACAACTGTGAGAAAATACTAAAACCCACTAAATTGCATGCTTTAAATACATAAATTTTATGGTATATGAAATTTTAATGTAATTATTTTTAAAAATTCAGGCCTAAATACAGAGAGGACAGAAGGCAGCAAAAGTGTGTGCTATGGGGAAATTGTTTCAAGCTCAGGTCAATGGTTTCAAGCAGTTCCCAAATCTGTCTTAACATGAGTTTCAAGAGAGAACTAAGGGAATAGAAGGGAAGAAATAAAACCTCTAAGAGCTAAATAAATAACACACTCTTGAAAATGAAAGTTCTGAGTACCAAGCAGAATACACTGGTAAACACTGAAATCTAGATACATCATGAAAATTTAGATCATCACTAAATTTTAAAGACCCAGAAAATCAAAGAGGTTCCAGGTAGAAATGACTGTCTACAAAAGAAAGAATAAGACGAGCTTCAAGACCTCCCACTATCAACAACTGATGCTACAAAACTATGGTGGAAATCTTAAAAATCTAAGGAATAAATAGTTCTAAACCTACACTCCTACTATTCAATTAAAGGAGCAAAATAAAAGCATTTCAACATTCAACTGATGTTCCCTATTCATAAACTCTCTCCCTGAACAAATAATTCAAAGATATGATCTAGCAAGGCATTATATTAATCTAAAATGGGGGATATGTGGTAAGAAGCAGCAGTGATCAAATAAACCAGTAAAATGTATCTAGTTCAAGATAACTGCTGATGTATGATATAAAGGTAAATAAGGAATATGAAACTAAAATCCAATATGGCCTGAATATGTAAGGAGGCAGGAAAAGAGGAAATAAAATAAACTTGTTTTATTGTAGAGAATGGAGGATGTAGATACTAGAGATCATATATAGTACAGAAAGATTTACGTATTAAAATTTTAAGGGTAACCACCAAACAAAAAAGGAATATAATAAGCAAATTCCAAATTACTAGAAAAAAGAATGCAAATAAAGAAAACTGAATCAAAAGGAAGAAAGACTTAAAAATAAAGCAAAAAAGGGTAAACAGGCCAGGCGTGGTGGCTCATTCCTGTAATCCTAACACTCTGGGAGGCCAAGGCAGGAAGAGGTCAGTTCTTTGAGGTCAGAAGTTCAAGACTAGCCTCAGCAGAGTGCTAGGCTTACAGGTGTGAGCCATTGCACTGGGCCTGTATGTTTCTCATCAATCCTCTCCCTCTCTTTCTTTAGATTCTCAGGCCAGTAGAGTTTGATGACCTTTCTCAGTTGTTTCCCAGAGAGGACGAAATTTCTGGAAGATAAATAATTAGAGGCCGAGCCCGCTCACGCCTGTAATCCTAGCACTCTGGGAGGCCGAGGGAGGCGGATGGCTCAAGGTATCAGTTCAAACTAGACTGTTACAAATGTAAGATGTTAAATGTAATCCCTAAAAAGCTATGCAAGAGAATATTCAAGAGAAATAAAAGTTCGAAACCACCCTGAGCAAAAGCAAGACCCTGTCTCTACTAAAAATAGAAAGAAAATTAATTGGCCAACTAAAATATATAGAAAAAATTAGCCAGGCATGGTGGTGCATGCCTGTAGTCCCAGCTACTCAGGAGGCTGAGGCAGTAGGATCGCCTGAGCCAAGCAGTCTGATGTTGCTGTGAGCTAGGCTGATGCCATGGCACTCTAACCCGGGCAACAGAGTGAGATTCTATCTCAAAAAAAAAAATAAAATAAAATAAGTAGAGATTCTGAAGGTCCCTGGGCTGACTTCCAGATGCCAAGACTCACCATCCCCCACAATATGCCCTGAAAGCACACAGTCCTTCATTAGTTACACCACAACCTAACCCCAATGCATGTGGCCTCCTCCTTAAAAAGCCCATTTCTCCATTAGTTGGGGAGATGGATTTGAGACCCAACTGATTCCCTGTTCTCCTGACAGATATTTTTCATAATAAAGAATTTCTTTCTTCCTTGGCAATCCTCATTGTCTCAATAATTGGATCTTTGTGCAATGAGCAAATGGACCTAGGCCAAAACCCCCTTGCAGTTTCAATAACACCTATTGCACAATAAAGTCCTAGGTGGCCAGCCTCTACGTTAAAACTCAGAGTACTAACTGACTACAAATAAAAAAGCATCAATGATTCCTAAATCATAACTAAGAAAAACAACAAAGAAAAATTAATAAAATCAAAAGTCAATAAAATTGATAAACTCAAAGCTCTTAAGGACCTTAAAAAAAGAGGCAAATTATTACTGATATCAGGAATTCAAGATCATTACAGATCTTACAGAGATTTTAAAAGGAATACTATATATAAATAAACTCATGGCAAAAGTTTGGCGTCATAGATGAAATGAACCAATTCCTTGAAAAACACAAACTAGCAAAGCTCACTCAAGAGCATATAGCCCCCTCAACAGCCCTGTATCTATTACAGGAATTGAATTTATAGTGAAAAACCTCATCACAAGAAAACTCTAGGCCCAGATGGCTTCACAGATGAAACCCACCATTTAAGGCAGAAAAAAACACCAATTCTGTAAACAGTTCCATGAACCCCTATATGATTTTTATAATCTTCTCCCTTAACTACATGACCCTTTGAGTTGTTTCCCAGAAACAATGGACTTGAACTCCTGGCCTCAAGTGATCCTCCTGCCACAGCCTCCCAAAGTGTTGGAATTATAGGTGTGAGCCACCATACCCAGCCTATACGAACAGTTTAATAGTGGATATTTCTAATGGTTGCTTACAGGAAATTTTTACTTTTTCTTTTTATATATCTTTGTATTCTAAATTTTCAAAATAGCTATATATGACATATTCTTTTTTTTTTTTTGAGACAGAGTCTCGCTTTGTTGTCCAGGCTAGAGTGAGTGCCATGGCGTCAGCCTAGCTCACAGCAACCTCAAACTCCTGGGCTCAAGTGATCCTCCTGCCTCAGCCTCCCAAGTAGCTGGGACTACAGGCATGCGCCACCATGCCCGGCTAATTTTTTGTATATATTTTTAGTTGGCCAATTAATTTCTTTCTATTTATAGTAGAGACGGGGTCTTGCTCTTGCTCAGGCTGGTTTCGAACTCCTGAACTCGAGCAATCCGCCCACCTCGGCCTCCCAGAGAGCTAGGATTACAGGCGTGAGCCACTGCGCCCGGCCAACATATTCTTAATATAACTTTTTAAATTTTTCAAATATATACAGATTGAAACAAATAAACCTAACTATACATAAAATTAGTAAAATAACCAGAGAAAATAATTATTTGAGGTGACTCCAGAACTTAGTATTCTAATTGTACATAGTAATAGAATATAGTCTAAGAATATAAACAACTATAAAAATTTTACATTTACTTTTTCTTGTTAGCAGTAATATCAGTATTACTATTTTAAACCCATTTTTGTATGTCTAATATAGCAAATAATGTTTATATTGTGAAGAGCCAAGATTTTTTATGAAAAAGGGAAAAAAAGTAAAATATTAAAGAACTGAAGTAAAAATTCTATAATTCTAAAATCTAAATTATAAAAATCCCCCTCAATACTAGTGATTTTTTAAAAAATATTTATTTGTAGAAGGACAGTATCAATGAGTATCCCTGGCACCCAGATTTTGATCTCTCAATACTATTCTACATTAATTCTTTGTTTGTTTTTCATTTTTGAGACAGAGTCTTGCTTTCTTGCCCAGGCTAGAGTGAGTGCCGTGGCGTCGGCCTAGCTCACAGCAACCTCAAACTCCTGGGCTCAAGCAATCCTGCTGCCTCAACCTCCTGAGTAGCTGGTACTATAGGCATGCACCACCATGCCCAGCTAATTTTTTCTAGATATATTACTTGGCCAATTAATTTCTTTCTATTTAGAGTAGAGATGAGGTCTCGCTCTTGCTCAGGCTGGTTTCGAACTCCTGACCTCGAGCAATCTGCCCACCTTGGCCTCCCAGAGTGCTAGGATTACAGGCATGAGCCACCACGCCTGGCACTA